CCTCCCTTATCAGATTTGAGCTTGTCGGATGTTGACGAGGAGTAAGAGATGTAGTTCGGATTACAAAGACAGAAATTAGTTCTGTTCGTATAAATTATTAAAGTTAGTCTACAATATTAGTTTTAGCGAAGTTTTACTCATCATCCATTTGAATAAATTAAATATGTTGGGGCTGAGTTAAAGATACTGAAAGAAAATTGTGCACGTCTCCTACTAGCTATCTTTGCTGGGGTAGATCGGTTGAATATGTAATAAATACAAAGTACATTTTATGAAAATAGTAAAGAGTTGATGCTGAACGTTCCTGGACAGAAAATGCGTAGCTACTGTATATTCGAGCTCCGGTGACACTGTTTTCAATTCTTGTTCAAATTTTATTTCATTTTGACATTGATACAATGCTGTATGTAGCCTTGATAGATGTAATGGCCATTTCATGACTACTGCAAGCAATAATCCTACTAGTCCATCGCGAAAGAACGGGCAGTAAGAAGTTAACCGATACTGGACCCGTTAATGATAAAAGCAGATTCCATACCTGTCTGATCTTGTAAACACCGCTGGTAGTATGAATGATCGATCTACCGAAATAAATTGCCATACACGAGTGTGTCAACCACAGATGCCGATATCATATCGACTGTGTGAAATAGTCTTTGGTCTGTGTCACCATTCCTAACCTCTGGCCGAGAGCCTGAACAAATCTAGCCAGGCGTAACATCCACGCATCATTGTTTTGGGACCAAGACCTTTCAATGATGTGTTCTATATTGCGCGGATCGAGGAAGTATTCCGATCTGTAAACTTTCCCAAGTCTGCTCGTTTTGCCTGAATAAATCAGATATTCCATAATAAGTAACGCTGTAAGACAAATATTCAAATCGACCATCTGAACATATGGATGAATTGCTTTAAGCATTCGGGGCAAGAAATCTGTACTTACTAGTTGACGGCAAGAAATGGCGAACGTGTCGTTATGTAACTGCACTCTCACTTTCAGACACTTTGAATTATCACTATTTCCCGTCTCCGGTTATGTCCCGTCCCAACATGTGACCAGGACCACTTTAAAGCCGAGTTTTTGAATAAGGTGTTCTGTTTTATAAAGCAATTTCTCGATCTATAGAAAAGGAAGAAGAGAATTAGAGCAGAGGACAAATAACCAAGACAAATTCCTAAAAATCGACAAAAGAAATACGCGATTGCGACATGAATGGTTACTCTAATATCATAATCCTGCCAATAAGTAAGTAAATATTCCGATGACTGAAACAATTATTCGGCCACCGAACTGCCTTCTGTACTTCTACGCAGAAACTTAGCACATATAAAACTGTTTGAATCCGTTCGTCTTTTTTCCAACCCGACTTTGTTAGCGTACAGCATTGCCAAAATTAGAATGTCATCCGTTGGTTCACAAGCTTAAGTGCGGTGTCAGTAAGCGATCAAACGGGCGTCCCCAGCCTAAGAGATTTGCGCAATCGAACAGTCATGTTGAGTTACGAGACAGCGTATTTCAATAGCAAACGAATTATCGTTTGATTCTAGATATTAATTCATAGTACTGCTCTGTCGTTAGATGAAACAATCATGATCACTTACATTCTCTCGTAGAGCACTGATTACTGTCATGTGTAGTTCGAGCCTATTACCTACCATCTGGTAAAGGCATTCAAGCAATACAAGGTGTACATAAAGCTCCAAATCTTGAATTCGCAAATAATGCATTTTAACCAGTTCGATTACGGGTTGCTGAGATAACCCGTTCTCGTAATGACATTCTTGAAGCAGTATTACCAGATTCGTGGGATGATAAAGGGTATGGAAGTAGACAATAAATTCGGCTGAAAGGTTAATTGTGAAGACATTTCGTGATGACTATCCAACTTCTTTGAGTTATGCTTCTCGTAACCGTTGAGTAGCGTTACTTGTGTATAGTTGCAGCAATCTAATTGTAACGTTGAGGCGTGAAGACTGTGGTTAGTTGGTACTTTACAACGATGACTGGATTGTAATCAAATTATGGTTTCCCACCCAAGTTCGGAAGTTTCAATATAAGCAATGCTGTCTTCTGTAACGAGTACACAGTAATTGGAACAATGTGGGTTTTTTTGAAGGTGGGGGATAACTTTCACGCGAATGATGTAAGTGGTAAAAATTTCACACAACTGTTCAACGCAAATTTGTATCAGCCAATCAAAATCAGTGAAAATTGAAGACAAATTTTTGCCGTTGTTTTTTTTTTCATTCCAAGGCGTCGTGTGCAAAAAAGAATATATTTCAGAAGCCATTAGAACCCTTTCTTGCAACACATCCTACATTTTTTAATGAAACCATCCGTTCTGATTTTAATCCGCCAATCAGGGCCGGCACAAATTGGGCTAATAATAGTAGTTGACATACCCGATTCCCAATTTCCACGCTTTAAGTGTAGATATTAGATAGCTACTACAGTAATTCTCAGTTAGACTATAGTTGTATTCAAATCGATTTAAGGAATTGGCTATGCATAACTTTGAATTGTAAGGTTTCCCTTTCCGACAACTTGAATGACATAGACAACGTATAAAATCAATCGCGTTTCATATACCAAAAATACATGGAAATCCAGCAGTCTGTCCCGGCTGCACATTTGAAAGATCTATCTCACGCGATAGTTTCTTCCGTATTATTAATTCAATGACCAAACTTTATTCTCAGCAGGACAAGCGTATGTTGCCTTAAGTAGATGTATGGAAACACGTTCAAGTTATTAGCTTTACACAGAAATGCTTCTAAGACTAGTTCTGAAGTACTGAAGTAACTAACGAATGTATATAGCGCTGTACTGTACCAAAAAAGTTGGTACGTATTGTAGTATTGATAATTGAAACGGCGATAATAAAATGTAGTGTAACTGCGAATCCAAATCAGGCTAGGCGAACGAAGGGCCATCGCACAAAAATCTACTAAAAGAAAAAACTAGTGACTTATTAAAAGTAAGACAATTGTGACAAACTAACGTTAACAATGGTATTACAGTATTAGTAACAAGAATAGTGACCAAAACTTAAGTTATGGCTTTAATTATCCACTCACTCGCTCTAATGTGTTGTTAGTAATATTTCAAGAGCGATGGTTATTCTACAAATTAATAAAAAGTTTAACGAATGCGTTTAAGTAAATTTTTATCAACAGCAAAGACCATAAGAGACAACTCTTCGTCGTTGATTGCTTGATCGAAGCTGTTCTTTATTTAAAAGATTTCTAAAATTTGTTGTAATTCTCGGTTTTATGGTGGATTTAATGTAGATATAGTCATATTGTCTCGAACAACTTTGAAATTTATTACGTTAGGAATTAGCATTATAAATTACACGTTATGCATGAGAGCAACCGTGTTACATCAAAACTGTTTCAAAGTCATCAAAAGCCAAATGCCTGATTTACAATATCAACCATTTTAGCTCACACAGTCAAAAGTTTACCCTCCCCCAAGCTTGGAGAAAAGACGAGTAAAATAAGGTATATAAAATTTTCAAAAATTTTACACGATAGTGTTATTTACTGATTTGATGTAGATATTACTTAGGAAAAGAAAAACATAAAATAAATAGAGTGGCTTTCGAAATATGTTTTTTTTGCAAACAATAACGCTTGAAGTCTTGGAGTGAAAAGAAAAACGACAAAATAATATGTGTAATGGAGAAATACGAAATTTGTCTTCAATTCTCATTGATTTTTGTTGGCTGATACAAAACAAAAATGAACAGGCTAGTATGCTTTGTAGTTCAAGACATTATATAATTAACATTTATTTGGATAGACAAAAGTTTGCAATATATTTCTAGTAGTTATTGTAAACGTTTATTTGTCACGACAAGCATAAATACAAGCATATAACGAGCTAAAACTAAAAAAGTACGTTTCAATGTAGATTATCGGAAAAAACTGAACCACCAAAGCAGATAAGATTAATAGACAATAAAAAACTAGACAATGAATTAGAAAGTACAGTGTACGTCATCCAACAGCGCAGTTTAAATTTATTATATTTATTGAAATGTTAAGAACAAATTAAAGTTGGTAAGTCTCTGTTGTTTTAGCAAGAACGTATTAAATTTTAAATTTTGCAAACTATAAAACTGTGTTGATAGATAGAAAAACAAACAACTAATTTTCCGTAATCTTGATAATCAATACGTGTCGATTAATCAAAGCATGCTTTGTTCACCCTCCTCAGTACAAGACGAAATGCTGCAGGAATTTCCAAACACAGAAACCCACCATGACGAATCATGGCTTAACACACCAAACGCAATTAAAAACGTTGCAACTAGTTTCCCGCATATTTGAAACCAAATATGAATATAATCATTATCGGTATCTATTCCGGGTGGTGGGCGATCCAATAGGTAGTAAAAGATAAAGCAGACAATGTTGTTAAATGTCCAGATAGACGAAATTACTGTAAGATATTTAGACCGACACCCAAACCCTATTGGACGAGTATAAAAAGTAATGAGCACTGCCAACCAATGAGCTGCTATAGACAATACCAATATCATCACAACTTTTGCTCGTATTTTTTGAGCAGCCTCGATGCAAACGGGTTGCAAATCGATTGTTTCCTCGACGTTTTGCAATTCATCGATTGGGTTTCTGGCTACTGTCTTTCCTTGAACGAGTCTTACGAGAAGAGCCGGAAATGTCCATACTAATAGTAATGGAATAGACGGCCAGTCTTGCTGAACGTAGCATGGGCCTATCGCCCTGATTATTCCAACTATTATCCCAATAGTTATAAAGTAAAGCGATATTAGGCAAGCGCAACGATCCAAAGTCGATATGACTGATATGCATCTTTCGAGAATGTTTCGAATATCAGAATTACAATTTATGCGTCGAGCATGAAAACCGAACGGCCACCTGCCACCATAAAAACGGTCTGCCGGAAGCCAATATGCGCACGAATCTATATTAACGTCATTCTGATTTAGATTTGTATTTATATTAAGAAAATAAAATAAGCCGGCAAATGGACATCCGAGACATATGAATACATGCAATGTCTTTGAAAGCGATGTCAAAAACGGCGAATCGCCGAGAATTAGAATTGCTGGAAGAACTCCCAGGAGGTACTGTGGTATGGGATTTTGTAATATATCGGTTATAAAAACTGGTAGAGGTTCGTTTTCTGTCATTGCGTTATCGTAGGTAAAGTTTAAAACTGATCTAATGTTTTCTTTGTCAACTTGTAAGCTTGTAACTAGTTAAATTTCACAGTGTAATGTGCGCGAGCTAATTGTAGGCTCGAAATAATAAATCAGTTGATTGTCCTACTACATTCAAAATGACTGTACATATCACCGGGACAGCAAATTTAATTTAGCACGTTTGAACTTAATGCACATTTATCTTCATCGAATTTAGTCAAAAACACAGATTTTTGATTATAATATTAGCTATCTAAATTTTTGTTTAAAAATGGTTTCATTATCTACTAGACGAATAAAAAACGCAATCTTTTGTACGTTGTTTGTACCACTAATACAATAATTTGTCAAGTCAAACAGCTAATTGTTCCATATTTGTCTAACTTTGGTTTATTTGACTGTCAACTTTCTGTAGGGTAATCATAAAGTTTAGTACGACAGGTTAGAGGCTGATATGGCGTTCGCAATATTATATTAATAGTCTACAACTGACTCTCTGCAAAAGTTAAATATCGTGCAGAATATCGAGTATTAATATGATATGCAACAAAATATTTGTACGTAATAGATTATAATTAGCGGGCACCCTGTAATAATTACGTAATGAGGTTCATAGTTTAGCTTCAGCCCACAATTATTGCATAAATGATAATAAAAATAGTGGTTTACATTACGCATCTACAACTAGGTTTATACAAACGATCTTAGCACATAATGTTTGCAAACGTTTACTATTGTTGTGTAATAATTATGAAAAGTGGTCTATTTGCGCAAAAACTTTAGCTTTTTACAAAAACATTCGAATACGAAAATTTAATCTTTGCTTTTTGTTTGAGCAACTTGATTTCT